CCCCCCCCCCCCCCCCCCCCCACGAAACGCCTTCTCGCATTTGAAATGCGTGCGTCTTGCTTGTCAGGCTTTACAACCAGTTTCTATCTAGTCTGCACCTACACAGGGCCCAGTTTTGATTGAAACTGGGAATTCATTGCTCACCGGGTGCTTTGTTTGTGATGCAACAGATGCTGTAGGATTCGCGAATGTGTGCTCACCACATCAACTGCCCTGAGAATAGCGAGCACCAGAGGCCCTGCGAGATTTTGATAACCGCGTGATTGACGCGGACAGCACGGCAGGCCCTCGTCGGTCATTCCTCGCCGGCCAGCGACGCGCGTTCGACGCCCCGCATTTCGTACCAAGGGCCTACCCACCCCCGTAATTGTCACCGAATATATCCCAGATCATGGCGCCTTTAGAAGCACCGTATGTTTTTTACCGCACTGCGAATGACGTCTTTTCGTTGGCCAGCAGTCGGTGGGCGCGGCCGATGCAGTAGTGAAACGCACACAAAAGCTACCCACACTCTGCACTCTACTGACACAGGGCTCAACCCCCCCCCGTCCGGAGTACGAAGGCAGTGCCACACTAAGTTCCTGAAGCCTTGCAATGTCTCACAAGATTGATTTTTGTGGTTTCTCATCGTCGACGTAAATACCCTCGGTCCCCCGACAACGAACGCTAACTAACGCGAGATGTGCATCCCCTCGCTCCGCTGTGGCGGCCGATATTAACGGCGAAGCTTCCAATGTGCTTACTTGCCGCTCGTTTTTCTGCTTCCGCTCCCCGCGTATGCCCACCACGCGCCATACACGCCCGCATACAGGTCCGGTGGACTTGGCGTCGAGCCCTTTGCTGTCGCAGTGTGCGAAGAGCGTTGCTGTCGTCGACATGGGTGAGTTGACTGTCAATTGCTTGATAGCCCGCGCACTTTCGATGACTGAATGGAACGCTTTTTGAATTTGTTACACGTGCAGCTGCGTTTGCATCCACTTCATGGGATCGGAGTCATACCCAACCTAATCCTTAACCCTCGGCACACGGTCGGATTCAAGTTCCACCCCAAATGTTAGTCGAGTAGTTGCTGAAAGGCCGGCTGGACCGCAGGCAGATAGGCGAGGTTTTCGCATGCTGCATCCGCGTGTGCGCGTGTCTTGCTGATGCCTGCCGCTGGTTGCCCTCGAGGGTGGTGCGTGGCGTGCCTGACGCCTCCAACAGTGAACGAATCGACCGTCTTTCCTTTTTCTCTTGCGATATCATGGCACCTCGTTGCCTATTGTCCTCTTCCTGTTAGGTTGATTCTCTGGTCATGATCTACGTCGTCCGTTGGTTAGTTGTTTTTCGTTTTTGTCGTCTTTCTGTTTTTGTTTTTATTTTTCACGCTCTCGTTTGTATCTAGTCTACTTTCTCATTTTTTGTTTTTTCTCGTTTCGTGTGTTCGCAAGAGCACTTTAGGCTGATTTTTTCGGTTGTTCGTGCGATCTCCCTTCGCCGTTCGCTCTCCTTGCGCGACCGAATTGTCTGAATGTCCGATTCCCCCGTCGTTCGTTCGCCCCCGGCGCATGGTGCCTGTGCCCATCTGCTTCGACCCTGTCGCACCAGATGTCTCCGGCTTTTTATCTCTCTCTTTGCATCTCTATCTCTATTCATCTCTCTGTGATTGTGAAGGTGAAGGTGAAGGTGAAGGTGAATATGTTTTATTATTTGGGATCGACCGCACTAACCAGCGGACCAATGGAACAAACGTCAGTCTTTTGCGTGTGCATGCCCCCCCCCCCCCCCCCCCCCCC